TCATCTGTTAGTCATGGTTTTGCAGCTGAAGCAGTAGGACAGAAGACTGGCTGGCTATTTAGCTGTAGGCATCTGCTGAAACACAACTTTTCATTGTTACGACATGCAGTCCACTAACACCATAAAACAACCGGCTCCCAGCAAAACACAGGCTCCACGTAAGGATACAAAACAACAATAAAGGTTTATGTGCTGAAGTCCATCAGACCAAACAGGTTCAGATGATGTTGAGTAAGAACAAAGTGAGCATTAGTAAAGCTGCAGAAACACAGAGAAAGTCACGTTAGCTTTTCGCAAACGCCGAGCAGTTTCTAATGTTATCCGGTGCAAAGTTATATCGCTTTCCACATTACTTCACCAACTAACGCGACCCATGTTACTATCTTGTGTACCACTGTTGATTTAGCCTGCAAGAAAGGATGCAACTGTAAAAAGCTAATGTGGAGCAGCCAGCTAACGCTACAGTAGCTCGGACCTGCTGCTGTTTGCTTCGTAACGTTCAGTTTAGGTCTATTGTGGTTTTACCAATACTCAGGTACATAGCTTCTCCACCGCTCTTGCTGTAACTAACGTGACCCACATAATATACAATACTGCAACTTCACAGCGACAACAACCCAGAGGAAGAGCCATCCACTAACACTACAGTTAAGTTACTTACTGCGGCCTTATTATTATAAAGTGTGACACAATCTCGTTATAATATTCAGTCCAGCTCACTACCCGTTTCATTATCATCCAATACATGTAGCTATGCTGACATTGCTGAGCCTCCGGTGAAAGATACACAGATAGTAAAGATAGTTACTGAAAGCAGCAGGCGAGCTAACAACGCTGTACCACGTCGGCTAAATGCAGTAAATGTACTGTGATCATGTAAGGAGCATGGATTAGTTCAACCTGCAGCTGATAAAACTATTACTGTAACGTTCCAGTAGGGGTTTATCTGATTCCAGTATATTGTGTGAAGCTGTCTCCCTGCCTGTCTATGGCCGCTGTCACTCTGCCGATATGCGTCTGGCTGCGCTGAATGAAGTAACGTTGCGGAGCCAGTGTTGATCTGCCTCTGAGACGAGAACGTTGAAATAACAGAGCCTGAACATGTCTGACCGAAAAGCCACAGCCGGCATGTTGGTGTTCCTGCTTTTATTGCAGGATTTCTGTATGAAAGTGGTTTTGTTTCGGATTATGCTCGCTCATGAATTCAAGCGAGCACACGTACGAGCACATGCCTGGTAGCAATCTTAAAACCGCGCCACTAGTGGCTGCTGAAAACTCCATAATGCCCCTTTAAGATACATTCATTATTTCTATGGATTTAAAGTCATTGTTTTATTTGATGGCCCTGCTTTCCATAGGTCAAGTGGCCTCGCCCCTAAAATAATGATATTCCAGGCTTGAGAGTAACAGAAGAAAAGGCTGAACTATAAAGGCGTATCAGCCAGCAATGGTTTCTGTGGGAGACAGTACTGTAACTAACTTTGCACACCTTTTTATAGACAAAAAACAGCTATAACACACTAAAACAACATAAAAAAAAGCACAATAGGCTTTAAACAGAGAAATGGTGGTTCATTTTCATTTAGTTAATTAGGGGAGTTTCCCAAAATTGTTATTAGAGTTACTTCATTAGCATAACATGAAATTATGCTTTGCACTAAGTGACACAAAAAGAAAGACAAAGATAAGGAGAATATATAAGGAATATAAGGCAGGAAAGTACTTTTTCATGCCATAGTGTACACAATAGGCTTATCTGACGAGATAGTCCAGAACTATAAACAGCAAGGCCTGATAGCTGCAACAAAACAAATCATCTTTACAAATACAAATACAAATACAAATATTAGGCTACATTTAGAAACCACTTTCAGTATCTTGTTTATATGTTTAGCCATGGACTTTGACATATGAGAATTTCAAGTATTACTGGAAACTTTTACTCTAAATTCAAGAGGTATTTATTAACTGTAACATCAGTGGTTTGATCAGAGATGATCAGAGATGGCTTTTCTGTGTGTAGGTCAGAGAAACAAGCCTATTAAAAGTAAGCTTGTATTGAAGTTTGAAAGCATATGTGGATATATGTGCATATCAAACAAAGGCTTGGCACAAATGTTATGTTTCTTTTAGAAACCAAAGGTTTTATGTTGCACAGTTGAGAACTGGGATTTTTTTCTCTTCCTCAGGTTGGAAGATTAAAAAATAAGCCAATATTATTACCAGCAAATCAAATCAACGTGATCAAAGTTAGACTTGGTTAAATACCATTTTTGGCGCTGCTGAGAAACCAAATTGTCCTTGTGAATGAAAGTAGTAAAGAGAATGCACTGCCTCCTTAAACACTAAAGATTTAGTGATAATAATAAAATGTTTAATGAAGGATTAAGATTAATACAAAACCCAGTAAGGTAATATTATTTATATGCAAACAATGATAATAATCATTGACAGCACTGCACATTATTGGAGATGCTGGAGTTAACATTTGTGTGGATTTGTGGGGAAATTTGTGCCTGATCAGAAGTGTTTTTGGTTAGTTTTGGTTTTTCACCTCCTTGTCTTATCTAGTACAGTCCCAAACAGTTATGTGTGGCAGTCTGAAGGGGATGTGGGTTAGATTTTTAACATGCAGGAAGTTTTAAACATGAGCAGAAAACTTGCTGAAAGACAGGAAATATTAATAAAGTACAGGGGTTTCTAAATGAATCAAAATGAATGAATTTATTGTAGCAAATAGGTGCCACATGCACATTTAAATACATTACTTAAATCAATCATGACTACAATGCAGCATCAGATGTGTTTCAGTGGTGCATAATAAAGACTTTTAATAATATAATAATGTTTTTTCCCCCTAAAATTACAGTGAATAAATAAATGTTTCTGGCATGATATGGAATAGGAGAGTGGACATTCCTGAGAGAAGACTTGAGAGAAACACTAGGGTGCTGTTATAAATACAAAAGGCCTTCATGATGAGAAACTCATTAAATAACACCTAACCAGGAACGGTTAACCACTTTTATTAAGGAAACAAAACAAACCTTCATCTGATTAATGCACTGTGGAATTTTTTGCAGGAAAATATATCACATTTCCTTGCTCCATGTGATAGAAGTTAGGAGGTTTGACACCACGTTCAAAGAAACGACTCAGTAATTATTACCAAAGCCTCTGGGAGAATCTCCCCCATGTGAAATGTTTAGCCATTTGGATAGAATCCAAAGCAGAAGCAATAGAGAGGATGGTCGAAGTCCCATGTTTTTGTGGTATAAAGAGAATCAGATTATACTGAGTGAACTTTAGAATGACACCTGCCTCCTCAGTTTGTATAAGCAAGTCACAACTGCCCTTCAGTCCCAGATAACGCACAAATATCTTTGATGAGAAAATCTCTGGCATTTTTACACAAAACCTCCTCTCTATTACCGACAAAGCCACGCCCAACAGATATCATCTCTCCACTGTCATCTCTCTGGCTCACATACCAACAGACAGACAGACAGACACATCCAAAAACAAGTTTCCTCACACAGGGTTGCAACATAAAATGTTTAACCTCACATATCAGTGATTGTCAATCCCAAACATTAGCGTGTATAAAACTGTTTCAGGAAACAAATTCACTAAAACCATGCAAAAGCCAAAATCTTTGCAGATTTTTAATTTTTTTTGTTTAACCTTTATTTAACCAGACGATCATTAAGATTTAAAACCTCTTTTTCAAGAGAGACCTGGCCAAAATAGCAGCATATTGACAGAGCACAGTTACAAATACGAACACCAAGCACACGCACAACAACAAAGAACATTTAACCAGACTCTTACAATGCATTACACACACACATACACATACAAACATTAGACTACTTAAAAGTACAATTTATACATACCATAGGTTTAAAGGATTTAGATATTTTTAAAGCAGTGACAAAAATTTATAGCATCAACTTCAAAGTCTTTCATGCGGTGTTGAAATTCACCAAAAGAGATCAGATTTCGCAACTGCAAATCAGTCTGCAATGTGTTCCAGGTAGGCAGTGGTTATTGGAATAAAAATAGATAACAGAGGAGACTTTTAACCCAATGCTCAAAGCATTTAAGCATTTAAGTAATTAAATACAACTAAATTCAACTATAATTAAATCTTAGGAAAGCACCAGCTATTCCAAACTCTTACTCTTAGTCATTTTACTGTTTTCACAATAAATATCACTGCTAACAAGCTACTCAAAAGCCACAAAGGTTTTGTTACTGTGTATGTTTGTTTATAGCAGCAGCTTGTAGTTGATTGATTCAAACCAATGTTGGCATTGTTGTTTCTCTAGCTAACAGGAACTGACTAACTAATACTGCTAGCTTAAGAGTTGGGGGACGTGCGATTGGCTGAAAGATGAGAGGGCTATGACCACAGTGACTTGACTGAAAAGTGACATGAAATACAAGTGTTCTTGGGAAAATGTAATTTATTAAATAAAAAGTCCTATACTTTTTTTATAAGAAGAAGGAAATAACATTTTATTCCCTGTGATAGGAACCAAAGCAGGAGAGATGGTGTGCTTCTTCCATCTTAGTTGTTTACAGACTGTCTCCGCTTTGAATGTTATTCATGTGACTTTCATCTGTTTGGTAAAGCGTGTGACAAATTTCCAGTAGGATGGCTACACATATTTAGGCCATAGAATGACCTTGTAAAGGTTACATCGTAGACTCTATGGGATAGTAATTGGATAAACATTGTGAAACAGGAGGAATCGGCAGATTTGGTTTGCAAATCCTGAATTTCCTGAAATCTTCTTCATCAGTAAGAGTTGACTGGCTCAAAAGAATTTTCATCAGTTACTTTTTTTCTCAATAATTTATTTATTATTGACCACTTTGGAGCTCCATGACAAAAATCCCAACTGAGATTTTAATTTGAGGAAGAAAAATTCAGAATCATGACAGAAAAAGTACAATCGGTGCATCTAACGTGACTCTCAATACACAAACATGAATCCTTTTGTTTTCTGTGTGATTTATTGTTCATGGATAATTCCAAAGCAAAATGAAAGAGCAGATATAATGTGCAAATGTCTTTTCACATTTAAACAGCGACTGGCGCATACATATTAGATTACAGTTATACTGAGGCCTGTTCTTCTCAACATCCTCTGACATCAAATAGCAACACACTTCACAGCAGATGAACCAAATACATTGTAAAAAGTGCAGTAATGACAGCAGTAAATATGTACAAATACAAATCTAACGTGATTCTAGTGCGAATAATTGGATCAGTTTTGTCTCATCTCAATCCTTTCAAAAGTCCAACACTGTGGTAACACACAAGTCATTGTTATGGTTCTTAATGATGGTGAACATGTAGCAGATGTGGTTATGTTTCACTAGAGCTGCAGACTTATTGGTCTTGGGTAAACATAGGTGCCCATCTGTCCCCAGGTGCCCATCCGGGAGTCCAGCCAGCTGCTGCAAGCGTAGTTCTGAATCATGTCCTCTCCCTCATCTCTCTCCTCTTCATCGCTGGATGCTGCCACCTCGTCCTCATCTGAACTAGTCTTTCCAGAGCTGTCTCCCCTCAGGCGAGATTTCTCATCGTCCTCATTCCTTGTGTGGCAGAGACTGCAGACCCTCAACTTCTTAGTTGGGTGAATGTGGCTTATCACTGCTCGCTGCTTGGAGCACGAATTGCAGACCAAAAAGCCACATTTCCGGCAGTGGTGTCGACGATTGGTCGCAGAGAACTTGTTGAAGCAGCGCATGCATTTGAAGGAGGCCTGGTCTGGGATCCAGGAAACAGCAAATGTTGTTGAACCAGTTTGCTGGCTGCCGCCTTGCAGCAGGCTGGACCGGCAGTCTTCAATGTGCTCAATCCAGGCCCGCTTCTCCTCATATGAAGGGGCGGACACAAAAAAAGACTTGCATGGTGTACGGATCAGCCACTGGTTCTTCAATACCATACCGTCCTCCATGTCCTCCAGCTGGATGTCCTCTGAAATGACAGTGAAGATGGCATATTGATACAAACGCAAAAAAAAACATATGGATTCTATGTTATGGTCAACAGGCTTGTCCACCAAGATACATTTCTGTTTTTCTACCTGTGATTCATGTCATGAACAATGTTAATAACGTCCCATTTCTGCACTGCAAGATAGTCTAATCCGTTATTGGATTCAACTGATAGACATTTATTTTATTGGCTGGGGTTTTGAGATATCCGCCTACATAAGTAACTACTGCAGCTGCATCAGTGTTGCGAAGGTGAACTGAATTTTGTGGTGTTAAAAAGCATTATATTTAAAAAACTTTGTCCTGGTTTTTCAGGAGAACCTATTTTTTTGTGTCATTGTGCAGCATTCTGATTAGCAGGAATAAACTAGGTTATAGTTGCTCACCTAGAGGGATGATCTTCTGATTTTTGTACCAGCGGCGGTTCAGAAGGATGCTTCCGTACACCAGCACATCGTTGAAGAGAAAGAACATCTTAGGTTGGGGCTTCCGACGGCCCTGCTTCATCAGACGGCCCTGTCCCATCAGAATCCGACCTTGCTTGGTTAGAGACCTCCCTGATGCACCAAATGATTTCTCCACTGCTTGGATACGCTCCCGGTTCTCCCTATCAAATGTTAACAACTCCATCATGGTGACCTACTATCTGTTGTAGCACTGTTATCGCAAATGAACAATGTGACAGCTGGCTCCAGGAGTTCAGCTTTAAGATTTCTTGCATGATGACGCAGTGGGACTTTCCAAATTTAGATTGAAAACAAACAGGTTCTACAAGGAGTAAAAGAGAGGGAGAGGTGTGCGGCAGGGTGTTGAAGCACATTTAGAATTTATTTATTCAAGATATACCCGGTATTACCAAAAGTTTTGGGTCACCTACTTTACATGCACATGAAGGTTAATGACATCCCATTCTTAATCTGTAGGGTTTAATATGGAATTGGCCCACCCTTTGCAGCTATAACAGCTTCAACTGTTCTGGGAAGGCTGTCCACAAGGTTTAGCAGTGTGTTTATGGGAATTTTTGACCATTCTTCTAGAAGCGCATTTGTGAGGTCAGGCACAGATGTTGGGCAAGAAGGCCTGGCTCACAGTCTCCACTCTAGTTCATCCCAAATGTGCTCTATTGGGCTGAGGTCAGGACTCTGTGTAGGCCAGTCAAGTTCTCCACAACAAACTTGTTCATCCATGTCTTTATGGACCTTGCTTTGTGCATTGGTACGCAGTCATGTTGGAACAGGAAGGGGCATCCCCAAACTGTTTCCCAAAATGTCTTGGTATACTGAAGCCTTAACAGTTCCTTTCACTAGAACCAAGGGACCAAGCCCAACCCCTGAAAAAACAACCCCACACCATAATACCCCCTCCACCAAACTTTACACTTGGTACAATGCAGTCAGACAAGTACCGTTCTCCTGGCAACTGCCAAACCCAGACTGATGATTGTCACTCCAGAGAACACGTCTCCACTGCTCTAGTGTCCAGTGGCGGCGTGCTTTACACCAGTGCATCTGATGCTTTGCATTGCACTTGGTGATGTAAGGCTTGGATGCAGCTGCTCGGCCATGGAAACCCATTCCTTGAAGTTCTCTACGAACTTTTCTTGAGCTAATCCGAAGGCCACACGACGTTTGGAGATCTGTAGCTCTGCAGAAAGTTGGCCTCAGCATGTGCTTTGTGATTTTATGTGGCCTACTACTTTGTGGCTGAGTTTGTGTTGTTCCCAATCGCTTCCACTTTGTTGTAAAAACCACTAACAGTTGACCGTGGAACATTTAGTAGTGAGGAAGTTTCACGAATTAAGTTATTGCACAGGTGGCAACCTATGACGGTCCCACTCTTGAATTCACTGAGCTCCTGAGAGCGACCCATTCTTTCACAAATGTTTGTAGAAGCAGTCTGCATGCCTAGGTGCTTGATTTTAAACACCTGTGGCCATGGAAGTGATTGAAACACCTGAATTCAATGATTTGTACTGCGTGTGAAAGTTTTTCAGCAGAAGGCACTTGTAGCCTACAGCTAAATAGACAGCCAGTCTTCTGTCCCACTGCTTCAGCTGCAAAACCATGACTAACAGATGAACTGGTACTGAGGATAGTAAGGAGAAGGATGTGGGCTAGTGCATAATTAAATTGGGCCAATGATGTATCTCTATGTATCTCTCTTGCTCTTGTTTGGGCCCTTTGTAAAATTCCTGCCCTGATTTTCACATTGGCATAATGCCTGCCATGATTACCGTAACTACCAGGGTGTTTCTAGCTGATCAGGAAGCCTCAGCATTACAGTATTTCTACGGGGCGTGACTTTTCCGACACATTCTCTAAGCCAACAGGTTCTCATACATAAACAACAGAATCGGTTGATTGCCAATGACTCCCAATACTCCATATATGAGCGTTGGAAAGTACCAGCGACATCTCCCTGGACCTTAAGTACGTCACGTGTCTGGTTAACATTGTGAAATGTTGCTGTTAGGTTTAGGCAACAAAACTACTTGGCTGGGTTTAGGAACAGATTGTGGTTTGGGTTGAAATAAGTATGTTACGTGACGTATATTTAACTTAAAGCTCCAGTCAGTAACCACTGAACATACAATGCCAAAACCTTCATTGTCTCTCTCTATGTTGCTCGTATCACTTCACTAAGCCCCGCCCACCAAACCCATAAGAAGGAGCCAGTTGCCCTGCGAAACCTCATCCCACGGAGGGCTTGCTCTCCAAACCCTCTCGCTTTGACTCGTCTTCTCAAAGACACCCCTCCAACGCTTTGCGAGACAGGGCAGAGCGCCCCGGGCTTCAGAAGCTGCTGCAACGATGTCTAACAGCAGGATGAGAGGCTAGTACACCACTGTCCCCCCCTCAAGTTATTCCCCACTCTTTGTCATCATGCCTCTCTGCCACATTTTCTGGCAAGGACGAGCTGCTCTAAGTTTTGGAGCTTAAAACAACTGACAGAGGGTGAAAGCGGTACTTCAGCAACTTTCACAAATGTTTGTAGAAGCAGTCTGCACGCCTAGGCGCTTGATTTTAAACACCTGTGGCCATGGAAGTTATTGGAAAACCTGAACTCAATGATTCAAAATCTTTTGGAAATATAGTGTACATGTTTATAAAATTAAAAGGTTACTCTGCAAATTCAGTGCAAATAATAACATGACTCTTACGTGAGTAGTAAATTTACCCAGTTTTGAGTATTTATGCATTTTTTAAAACTTTATACCTCCACTGTACATTTCGGAGGAAAATGTAATATTTTTACTCTTCTATATTTACTTAACAGATACAACTGGAAGCAAATGATCAGCTCATAAAAATCAGATACAACATTAATGTGATATTTTGTTGCTAATACTAATGTATGAAATTATTTTAAAACAAGACTCTTTGAGGCCGTAATTTGCCACAACAGTACTTTGAGCTAAATGCTAACATGCTGATGTTAAACAGGTATGTTTATCATGTTCACCATCTTACTACAACATGTTAGCAATTTTAAAATCAAAATGTGATAAAAGTTTCTATTTTATGTGTTGATATTATACATAATTGTGTCTATTAACTGAGTCAGGTTTTGTTCAAATTTTTAATCTGGAGCCATAGGGATTACTCTGTGACCAAGTATAGCAAAACGTTTGAAAAAAGTTCCAATCTTAAAAAACTTACACTTCGTAAACTATGTCAACCATTTGAGAATTTTTTAATATTATCATATATTACAAAATATGATATTTGGTGTCAATATAAGCTAACATTGGATGAAGCACATGTGAAATTGGACAAACATAACAGCAGTCTACAATACAAATGTGTCACAAGAGACTAAAATTCTTATTAAAAAATTTGTACTGATTCCACAAGAGTTCATGTTTCAAGAGCTTTTTTGTTGAAATTCTCTTTACATCCCGAGAAAAAAAGAGAAACAAAATCTGGTTTTGCAGGTCTTTAATAAGCAGAGCGGCCCACCTGCCTGTCTACTGGCGCCATTCCAGGAATGAACAGATACTGACTATGTAAACCTGCCAGATACAAACAGTATGCTTCCAGTCATTAAATCAAAGACACTTCTAGACAACAGTGATACTGTTATCCAATGTGTGTGGTTAACACCCGCATGGTAACATACATGGGGAACTCTAAGGAGGTTTAGGCATTGTGCCACCTTCTGATGAGGAAATAACTTTAGAGAGACCATATTATGATCATTTTCAGCATCATGCTTTCATTTAGGGGTGCTACTAGAAAATGTTTACATCCTTTAATGTTCATTGCTGCAGTACCTCTTTCACCCTCTGTCAAAAAACGTGTTTTAAGCTTCCAAGTTTAGAGCAGCTCGTCCTTGGCAGAAAATGTGGCAGAGAGGCATGATGACAAAGAGTGGGGAATAACTTGAGGGGGGGACAGTGGTGTACTAGCCTCTCATCCTGCTGTTAGACATCGTTGCAGCAGCTTCTGAAGCCCGGGGCGCTCTGCCCTGTGTCGCAAAGCATTGGAGGGGTGTCTTTGAGAAGACGAGTCAAAGCGAGAGGGACCGGGGTTTGGAGAGCAAGCCCTCCGTGGGATGAGGTTTCGCAGGGCAACTGGCTCCTTCTTATGGGTTTGGTGGGCGGGGCTTAGTGAAGTGATACAAGCAGCAGAGAGAGAGATGAAGGTTACTGACTGCAGCTTTAAGTTAAATATACGTCACATGAGTTACGCTTCTTAGGTATCGTAACATACTTTGAACCCAAAACACAATCTGTTCCTAAAACCAACCAAGTAGTTTTGTTGCCTAAATCTAACCAAACTGCAACATTTCACAACGTTAACTTAAGGTCCAGGGAGCCTGTTGCTGGTACTTTCCAACACTCATATATGTAGTATTGAGAGTGATTGGCAATCAACCTAATCTGCGTTTAGGTATGAGGACCTGCTGACTTAAAGTCATACCCCGTAGAAAAACTGTAATCCTGAGGCTTCCTGATCAGCTAGAAACACCCTGGTCGGTACGGTAATCGTGGCAGGCATTATGCCAATGTGAAAATCAGGGCAGGAATTTTACAAAGGACCCAAATAAGAGCAAGAGAGAAACATCATTGGCCCAATTTAATTATGCACTAGCCCACATCCTTCTCTTTACTATCCTCAATACCAGTTCATCTGTTAGTCATGGTTTTGCAGCTGAAGCAGTAGGACAGAAGACTGGCTGGCTATTTAGCTGTAGGCTACAAGTGCCTTCTGCTGAAAATCAACTTTTGTTTTTTAAGATTGTTGCTCCTGAATTATGCATGATTATAGGTGGTACTTAGCAACTTTGTAGACCTTATACACAAAACAGCTATATGACAAAAAGACAAAAACATGATAAAAAGGGGAAAAGCATAATACGGCCACTTTAGAGCCAGTTCAGAGTAATGATGGTTCATTTTCATCCAGGGGAGCTTCCCAACATTTTTATTATAATTACTTGATTATCATAACATGAAATTGTCCTTTTGCACTAGTACAGAGACACAAAGAGAAAGGCTAAGATAAGGAGACTGGAATATAAGGGAGGAAAGTACTTTTTTGCGTCATAGAGAACATGATAAGCTTGTCTGACGAGACAGTCCTATTTCCTTTGAAATGAACTCGCCAGAACAACCTGCTTTAATCCTGCTCACAATGTGGCAACATCACAAAATGCACTCTGTAGTCAACAT